AGACCAGAACCAAGTTCCTGTTGGGTGGAAGCTTGGCATAATAACTCCGATACACAAATACCGAAGCAGGACTGAAACGTCAAACGTTCATCCAGTATCTCTTCTTCATGTACTGTCCAAATTAATGGAATCTCTCGTTGCCGATGCGTCGGTGTATTACCAATAAAACTGTGACATCCTTGCTCCCGAGCAACACGGTTTCCGTCGACGGCGATCGTGCACATCAAATATGCTAATGACACGGGGTAGTTGGACCAAGTCAGCTGATGCTGGAGAAGACGTTGGCGTAATATTCCTGGAGTTGTTGAAGTCATTCAATGGTCTAGATCATCGGATACGCTTTCCAAGCTGTAGCCTTTCGGGATCAGGGACCATTTCTTGACCTGGATCGCCAACTTTCACCTACAACCTCCTTTAGTGGTCAGAGTTTGCAGCTCCATAGCTGACCCCATACAAGTAGAAAGCGGTGCGCTGCAAAGCTCATTGTTATGACCACGACTGTTTTGGTTTTTATTTATGACCTCGCACAGAAAATCAATTAAAATTTTTTACTGTTTACCGCCGATAACAAGATTTGGCGCAGGATCCAGCTGAATGCCTAACTGTATCGGCTTCAAAGGGACCTAGACACGGAAGATCAGGTGGTCAACTCAGGATTCATGACAATTCTACGTGGGCATCTGCAACATACTCTCCATACGACACCGGAGCAACTACACATACAAGCTAGGAACGCAAGAACTGCGGTGATCCTCCTTCGAACGTGATATTAATGTGCCACTTCAGGATGACTTTGCTTGTTCCCGGCAATCCAAATAGGCCTCGGCAGCTGTTGCGACGGCTGTTCCGACCGGCGTTCAGACAAATGGACGTCCAGTTTCTGACAGACAGTCGGTGCGTATGTTTGCCTTCATGTCGAATACGCAATTCAAACCTGGCACGCATGACTGAGGCACGAGTTTACTACAGTGGACCAACTTCAACCTCGGGCTTCCAAATACGTCATTGGAATGCGAAATCTAGCATTTGAATTAAGGCGGACAGTAATGCTGATTACGAGGCGACCTGATAATGACATACTTGATTCTGTACGATCCAAATCATCTATACCGCTCTTTACTTCAGCTCAACGGTAACACTAATCTGAAACGTCACCCCTTAAATCTAGCAAAACAGTACAACCGTCTGGGATGCAATAAAAATTTATTTTCTTTTCGCGTATGTCACCCGTAGGACACTCTCCCACACACAAGGCGTTACTGCATCTAGACTAGCCATATTTAACATTTGGTTAGACGCACTCAGCCACGTATTGTTTGTTACTTAACACTAAATCTCCATCCTACTCCCGGGACATACCTTAGAGTTATTAATTCTCGCTTATTGGATCTGCGAAACTACGCTGAATGCAGCGCAACTGCATTAAAGACAGTAAGTCCACTCTTTTAACAGTAAAGTAGTAACTACCTTTTTCATTAACGTTTTTCGATAACCCACCAGACCACCCAATGGGGCTTGTAAAATAATGCTTCTTAATGTTTATCAACCCACTGTTCATAGTACTGCTTTTTTCGGATTTCAAGACACTACCATTTGCATTTTTGGATTCGGCCGGTTGGCAACACCAAACACTACGGCAGTTTTGATCTATCTTTGCACTCATCCGGCAGAACTCGAATCGCTGTAATCGGGATGGGGACATTGGGTGGTAGCCGACGCCTTTGCCTCCATCCTACCGAGTGGAGGCGAACATCGCATGTCACGAAGGATTTATTCTGTGTCCTGGGGCATGACCATACAAGTAGCAACATTACTAGATGAATTCATTGCAGTTATAGAAATCAGGATAATTGTTTAAACCATCTAGATTGTATAACCAAATTTACAGTAGTGTAAAAGTCCAGTGGCGGGGTACAGCAATAAAATAAATTAAACTAGAGTGCATTCTAGCCATTTGACAGCACCGAAAAGTGAAGTGAATTTGTTCAAGTAGCATGAACTTCAAAGTAGATAACATTTTGAGACTTGAGTTCAGGACTGGCGCAGCATAAGTTTCTTCACCTGGAATCGGTGAGTCCTTAAATGCATGCCGGTAACAAGACAGTTGATGCATTTGATGGGGAAACAAGCAATTTGCGTATTCGGTAAGGTTCGTCTCAGACACAGAAACTCAAAGGGTATCCGCAACAGCGATAGACTATGGTTTCACCGTACTGGGACTGGCAAATAGTGCGATTGCATCGGATCCTGCTGGTTAGTAACCCATGAGTTTACTCATGTGAACTAGCGACTTAGGCCAATGAGCCAGATGTGACGGTGATGGTCCGCCATCACTGATTACCAGCTGCAACGTAGTGGAGCGATTAAGCAATGGTTTCTGACGGGTATAAAAACAAATGCCTAACAACTCACTAGGATGGCTAGGGTGAAAACAAGATAGAAAACAGTCTAAGTAAAGAACGCGCGAGATATGTGACTTATGAGGAGGTTTCGAGTAGCACAGGTGTGAGTATTCCCACTTGAACTGTGACAGAATTATGACGTCATACACTGTTTGTTTTGCTCTAATAACGTCATCTGACGGTCGCTCAACCTTCATTTTGTCATAAAAGTGCAGAGAGCAATGCTTATGCACACGTCTATGATTTTCACCCCACGCTATCTCGAGTTGATGTGGCACGTGAGTTGCTGGGGTTAAGTACTGATTTCTAGAGAGTGTTAGTGGGATCATTGTGTATTATCAAAGCACTAAACTCCTTGTGCGTTCAATTCTAATAATTCCCCGGAACTTATAAACACGAATCCTTGATGGCTACTTGTTATCCGCGTAACAAATAACCGCATCGTATCAGTTACTGCCTGGCTTAAAATGTTGCTCAAACACTTTGTCAATTCATAGCAATAATTTCTGTTTATCAGTCGTACGGCACTACAGCTTTGACCAACTTGGCAGACGCCTAGTTTATTTCCCGCAGACAAGGGAGAAACCAGCTCCGAAGTGGGATGTATCTGGAGGTCACGGCTCTCACTGCCAGGGTGACACCAATTAACAATGGTGGAAACTGAGGCAAAACGTAAACGGAATACCACGAAAGGGAAACAGAAACAAGTTTGTAAAATTAATTCGGATGGAGTATTAACAGTTAGAAGCAAAATACCGGATAAAGGAGCAACACTGACTGCACAACGACACCATGTTTGATAGAGTCACAACTATTGATGTGGTTTATCCCAGGGTCCCCATCCGTGAAGACGGCGCGCACCAAACTGATAAAGTCTTTCGATCGGTTTGTTCACGCTTTTATGCCACCTCACTTACTGGTTACCACGCGGTTTTACCCATCTTGGAGCAACGCAGGTGCGCAATGTATGCCGAGGAAGGCTGTCAACGGGCAATCGAGGATATCACTCAGCCAACGTAAGTGGCTAAGATTTAGCAAACGACCCAGTGATGAACCAGTGGTTTTCTTGCGAAACACTGAATAGCGATCGCAGTGTTTTTCATCCGGTATCTTCACCACCACAGGCAATGATGCTCAAGATCACTTAATCGGCTAATATCCTCGGGGTGAAGTGGCTCGGTACTCATCCATATCATAACACCGGCATTATCGCAGCATTGTGTACCAGATTTTATTGCAGATCCAGCGTGTAGCAGTTTGTACAGATTATTCAAATTCTGCAAAGGCCAAAATCCCTTTTACTGGCAGATGAAATAAACTCCTCAATGATTTTAGTACCAGAGTAGTTGAGGTACCAATAGTTAAGTGAACTCATAGACCGTTTCCACTATCTGGTTGGTAAAAGCATTGAATTGTAAAGGTCCAAACACATGCCGTAGAATATACTGTTAAATGTCAGTCCATTCAGTATCGTTGCCATACATGTGGGGAAAAATCAAGAAGATTTTTGTCAGCTAGACCATACCGTCAGCACAAAACTGCTGTAAATGCTGAATAACTTATGGTCACATCAATGGCATTAAAGTCTCAATGCGATCCATGACGTGCTCTGTCTTTAAATCCTATGTCTTACGGTTGCAGTGATTGACGAGACAAAGATATTTGGGATGTATTTCCTCAGGTAACAAACAATTGCGTACAGACAATACTTTGTTTACATGTACAGCACAAGGAATATCACCAAATAATTCATGACTATCAAGTCCCCGACGAGTGCATATTTGTCTATCTTGCAATTACTACCGCTGAGTCCTTCACTTACACTAATATACCACTTACTTTTTTGGTTGGTCCACGTTAACCACGGCGTTCAGAAGTACGTAGCTCTTTACTTGCACTGCAAATGATGGACTGAAGAACGTTGCGATGCTCACTAGAATAGTATTTAAGTTCAAAAAGTGAAACGACTATCTATGCGGTCTTAATTTCAAGAAGATACCGGTATGTTGGTGCACAGCAGTGCCGCAACTCTACACTTCGGAATGACAAGGATTCACTTCACTGTAATCCGTAGCCTGTATTCAGATTTAGTTCACATCCTGGCCACTCAGCGATTACACCAAAGCCAAACAATCAGATACCGAGCTATTTTACATTGTCCGCTTAAATACGCACTGGCCATTCCCGGGCAAATTATCTATCTAAACTGGCGCTCATGCAGGTTCAGTGCCGGTAAGTTTGAGTCTTTGTCACTTACAAGCCATCTTTCAATGCACATCATAGCTAACCGATTCATGGTCGACGATACGATGGTGTTGTTCCGAAGGACATGAATCAAACTGTTTTCAAGTGACTGAGTTGAGGAGTTCTTGATATTTAGGTCATGCAAGTTATGCAAATATTAAAATGTTTAATTAATAGTTTTTACTTTTTCGGGAGCAGTATAAATGAGCTTATTAGTCTGATAATGAGCGCAGTTTTTGAATTTGATAGACTGCCGGCTTGCCTTAAGACTTCGAACATTTGTGTACTCAATAGCATCTTTTACACGTATGTGCACCCCTCTCACTGCAATATTCAAATATTTCTTTTTCTCAGTACGCAAATGAACAAGCAACCTGTCGAGTCTGTACGTTCTTCAGCTGGATCCGTGGCGCCGGTTTCAGTGCACAGTCAAATGCCTTCAATTGATCGTATCAGCCCAAATTACACCGCAACTAACCAGTCTCCAGTAATGCGACCACCGAGGCAGTCAATGCAGCCATCTCCACCGCAACAGTACCCAATACCTCCAACGCAATATCAACCACATTCATCTTATTCAAGCCAGCAATCTTCTTACGTCCAGCCACTAAACGCGCCAGCTTCGTCGCATCCCCAGTATTCCCCGCACCCTGCCCAGCCTCCCCTGAATCAGGCCTCTTTATCATCATCCGCATCACTGAAGCAACAATCACTTCAGCAAGTGTCAACATATGAGGAGCCTCCGTATGATCCTGGAACATCGCTACCTACCTCGCCTGGAGAAAAGTGGGATGGGCAAACGCCTGTCAGCAGCATCCGCTCTTCTGTTGACTCCGTCGCAGCAACAAAAGGTAACTTTGGTATCCCCAAGCAAGAGGGTTTTCTCCCAAGTGGCTATAACACTTCAACAGCGTCAACGGCAGGGGAGCCGCGGATAACCACAACTCAGTCCAAGTTCGGTAACTCATTTCCAACTCGGCAGTCGCCATTCTCACAAACGAATGCATCTGACTCTTGTGGACCGGCGTGGAACCAATCTGGTTATGCGGGTTCAAGTATTGGGAGTTTTGATGGGGAATCAGGGAGCCACATGGAGAAGTACGGGAGGGGAACGGGACATTCCTTGGAAACAAACGGATATTTTGATCGCCCAAATGATGAAGTTGTTACTGGAGCTAATGAAAGGTGAGTAGAAGTCCTTAAATAAATCATAACCTTCGTGCAACTTAGCGAGATGATCGTATTCCCTCCTTGTTTTATGAAGTACACGTTATCTTTTGTATTAGAGAGTGATACAAGCACTACAGGAGCAAATTTGAAGTAATCTTTCCATACTGCATACAGCGGAATTTCTTAAGATGACAGTAGGTCATTAAGATGGAGGATTAAGGTAGGTTTAGGGTACTCTAATGAACTCGCGAACCATACGAAATAATCAGCTGGTGAACTTCAAGAAATCCGACCTTCGTTTTCGCCGGCATATTATCATATAAGGTTGTTAAATAAAATGACATTTTATGAGTGTTACCTAGTAAGTTGTCTATTAACACCGGTCTTTAAAACGTGCCAGTGAAAGATAGCATAAGTGGTTAGTACATAACTTGACTTCGGTGGCCTTATTCCCAAATTACTTCAAAGGGTCATTACACTGAATATGTTGTTTCGCGTCTGGAGGGTTCTGACCGTCATTTATGTTTGCGATGAATAAGAAGAAACCTTCGAGCAATTGTAGCAACACAGAAACCCACCATTTCGGATATCGTCCTAGTTGTCGGAACGGCAGGTGCTGACTTTAAAGTCATCTGAAGCTACGACTGAGATTGCCTGTCGCAATCCAAGACACACGGCGTGTACTACAAAAATTCAACATTCAAGAAGTGAGGTTGTTCCGAAGTATCAACGAAACTACGGGCTTCCAGTTTACGAAAACACTGAGCCATTGTAACTTTCCAACTTGAACCGATCAACTGAACAAGCACTCTGCTTAGGGCCTTAGCCCATAGGTTGTTGACACATATCGGGAAAGTCCATACTTAGTTCAATGGGTTATATATCACGACATGCATGTGAAGTAGACATCAAAATTAAACCACATTTGAGTTAATAAGTTCTGCTCCTGCTGCCACCGACAATAGATCCATTCATTCATTTCTCACTGTCACAAGCAAAGCGTTTCCTTGTCAGTTTTGCCGCTTAGATCACTAGCTGAAGCGAATGTCTGGATCGTTTACGATGGTGTTTCGATATCCAGGACCAATATTTTCAATCCTTTTCTAAACTGATATCCATCTAGACTATAAATGAGTCGAGCATGAGTGAAAAAACAATGTTATTTTGTGTATTTACCTTCTTAGAGCATATAGAATCTAAGAACTGGTAGTTGCAGGTTAAGTACCTGTCTAATGTTAGAGATGGTACATTCGAATGTCAAGCTGAACCGTCAAAGATAACTTTTCACTAGTTTGATGCACCCTCAGGAGTTCGTGATAACATGCCTCTTAACTTATTATGGCACGATGCTTGCCACACAAAGTAACGCTGTCCTATACTCACGAGGATTACGCGCTTTAAGTGTTTCATTGGTGGTCGAATTAAAGTATCATTTAGATTTCGCTGACGGAGGATTGAGCACAACGGTGACTTTTATTCTGTAAAGTTCAGTAGCTTAAGATGAAGTTTTCAGCTATACTTTCAGCCGGATTTCGCATAGTGCTCATAATGCTGATCGTTATGGACCTCTTGATGTTGTAGCTGTGCCTAGCCTGTTTGACACCATCCACAGCGAAGCACCTTGTCTCTGATTAATAGGAACACATCACCGAATTTTAAATGCATTATTGATTGAATGTAGTTGTACATTATCCAACAAGATGGCGGTGCAACCTGCCAGATAAAGACCACTGATCTTGATCGCACGTGCGGAAGTGTTGCCGTTGAAAACCCTACCACTCTGCATTTATTCCTTATGAGCTGCTTGTACATGATTTCGAAAATATCCTTGAAAGTTACAACAATCTAATTCGCAAGCTGGGTTTCAGTTGCGCTACGTTGTTTGCTAGATTATTTCGCCCTACTGTAGGCGGGTCCCCCAAATAGTATCGGATCACCAAACCAATTTCTGGATTGAAGCAGAAAGGCAAAAAGCAAATACATTCGTACGGTATCTGCCATCGTAACGAACGGAAGGAGAGCACTATTAGTCTATTAAACAGTTATTCGTGCTTCGACATATCTGAATTTCCGTTGCAGTTCTCCTCTGCCTGGGTTAAAAAGAGACAGTGGACTGTCTGAAAACCGAAGTTAACAATTTGGGTAAACCTTTTCTCTTATCGTGTTTGCTACTTCATCTTATTTTATTTTGACTCTAGAATACCGAACATTTATTAAACAAGCACCTTCATGACATCGATCTCTTGAAACTCAGCAATGCATTTTTTCCATCAGTTATTACTCGTTATTGTCACAGGTCCTATTTCTATCCTGTTATTATCGCAAACTGCTGCTCACTTGCGATTTCCTATTTCCATAACCCTACTTTTCCCTAGCAGAACTATAAAAATAGTGGTATATGATCCTATCGCAGTTGTGTTACCGATTCACATTTGAATAAGCAGACCAAGTAATCGAGCTAGAATCGTGACCACCACTTGTGAATTCGTCACTAGGTGTCTACCTAATTAATCATAACTTGAAAAGCACAACACATCCGTTCACACTTAGTTAAAATAATTTCTACTGACTCCTGTGTTTAATGAGAATAAAGTGTTAGGTTTCATAGTTGAATAAAGCCGCAGCTTAGAAAAGTGAATATATGTTTCCGTAGCTGAGTGAACGTATACGAGTCTTCGCAGTTGGTACTTCTTAAACTTTGCGATCCCTGATATCTTGGTCATTATTTACCTCTCAAATATTGTAGGTTATAAGTATGACATGGTCACTATATGCTCTTCTATTATCGTTCCTTTTCATCCACAGCGGATTGGCTCAGAGTAGTGGAACTAATTTGCTACAGGGTCAAGCAACTCAAACGAGCAGAGCTGGTAATCCGGGGATTACTGCACTGAGTGGCCAGTCAAATGCACCTCCGAAACAGGCCTCTCTTCATTCAGGGGAGGACACGGATGACACGATGAAAAATCTGCGCAAGACATTTGCAGGAATATTTGGGGATATGTGAAGCCCACACAGGTGTAACTCTAAATGGGATCCGTTACGCACTGCTGTCAACTATGTCACTATCGAAAAACTCGGTAGCATCCATTTCATACGTCATGACATGCGTTGGTTTGATGGTATATATGACTTTGACAACAGATGGGGGCTTTATGTTTGGGTCTATATGAGCACTAGTGTTGCTGTCACCCTTATAACGGAATTCTTTATTCCAACACATTACTAACTCTGTACATCCCAAGTCATGGTGATCCCATTATTCGGTGTCCAGTGTTAATCGCACCAGCTCTATCCACATTGTCCTCCGCTATTTATCATTGGCCCACTGAAAGTTAACACTTTCGTCAATCTATTTCGTTTCACTTGGTCAGTATCAAGGACTCTGATAATGAGACAAAGTACATATAATTGAATAACTAAATTTATGTCTTTAATTTTTTCCATCTAGTTATGCAAATATCTCACTTTCTTATAATAAGCACATTATCCGTTCACACCCATTCAGCGTATGGAACCCAGTTTGCCGTAAATATTGAAACTGCCGAGGAGACATGTACGCGACCTACAAAGGTAATAAAACTCAATGGATGTCTTCAAAAACTAGCCAAGCAGTCTCATATTTTGTAAGCCGATTAGGAAGGGGAGACCGCTTAGATATAGAAAACATAATTACCTTTATTCCTTACGTATCTTACTTGTAACTGAATTAATGGTACGGCGAAATGGCTTATCGAGTTGTGTCAACTTCATTATTAGTTAATCACAAATAGCATGGATTCTCCTAATAATTGTTCAACCATTGATCCAAACTAAGTTGCCGCTTTAACATATTGAAATCAACTTGAAACCGACTGAGGTTTCATTAATTCTGGTTTTTGAATACAACTCCGTTTTGCACAGCTGGTATTGTGACTACGTTTCGCTCTTGACTCACGAACCTGAAGCCCTCCTCTAACGAAGCCTTTGTGTCAAGAGCGCTTGAAAAACCTATTTGTGCTTTAAAACCTTCCGAAATTAGGAAAGTTGCGGCATACTTAGATTTTATTCCAAACATCTAATTTTCTTTATAGCCAAGTGACAGTTGCTGGTAGTCTGTTCGCAATTTCGGTGAATATCTCAAACTGTGTACTTCCAACGCACACATTTATTCAGACAAGAAGCTTAGCCTTGCCAAAGAACACAGCAGGCAAAGCCAAACTCAATAGCCTGAGCGGCTTGGAAAGCAGTACGCTTTCTGTATACAGTTAGCCAAGACGATGCCAGCCATCAGCTGTTCGAAATAACAAACACCTCTTGAATTTACTGTGAGCAATGAAATCAAGGCTGAACGTATGATTGCTTGCGGTATGGTAACATATGCCTAACTACGCTGATGTATTATATTTGCTATTCGTTTTGACCACACAAGAATCTACAGGTTTCTTACAAGTTAACTTTTGTATTGCGTTCCTGATCGCCGACCGGAACTACCAGCACAGTATAATGTTATTGGAACTTGAGGGCACGCACAACACATTTGGGACAACCTCTTCATTTGGGACAATTTGCCAAGTAGTACAAGGGGAAAATTTGAGGTGCTTCGCAAGAAAAGCGGCTCTCACCTTACACTGGTTACCGTTTAGCTCATTTTGCAGTGACGTATGGAAAGTGTAACCAAAGCTGCATGTGGCCGATACACAAAAGAGAACAGAGTCAACTTTTATAATTGTTGGCGGAATCTTGCCCCAGTGCATCAGCAGAAAGTTCAGTTCACAAATGATTTCCGCAAATTTAGGCATTGTGCGCGTTTAGTTTGAACGAGTTAACAAATGATCCACTGCGTTGAAATATCTTTCCAGCAAAATAGATTAGGGTTAAGATTAACATAAAACAGCAGATAATGGTAAAGTTCAAAGTTCAAGGTCATTGGGATGAAAATGCCAACTAATCCGATCAGAAGTGATCAATGATTTATCGGCAGCAGGTCCCTCAACGTGAGTCGTTGTGATAGTGGGCCAGGGCAAACACAGAATCTGAACGAAGCTGTTTTGAGCACATAAGTCTGGGTTCTGGTGGCGGATAGCAATTGCCTCAGCTGTTGCTAGTATACGACATTTTACCGCTCGTGAAAGGCGTCCAGGTACACGGTAAATGGGTTGAAAAGATTTGCGGTAGTCAATTTGGTGATTAGAATCAACCAAGTGTGCCAACACGGCGCTCATCACAGTTTTTCTTCCACCATTGCGTAGATTAGCTGGACAATGCTCGCGTATTCTCTCAGACAGCCTCCTAGTAGTTCTTCCAATGTATCTTGCTCGACATGAACAAGAGAAGGAATATACACAATAAGAAGTACATGACCAGGGAAGTCTGTCTTTGAGTTGGGGCCTCACGATTGGTGTTGAAGTAAAACTTAGCCGCAAGCTCGCTGCGTAGTACGTATGACTCATAGCGTCGGTTAATCTTCTAAATGTTGCCTGCGCTATGTCATCCCCCTTGAACGGCAAAGACAAATAAACCGGTTTCTTTTCTACCGAAGCTGGTTTAACTCTCATTTCTCTGCACTCCATATATTTCCGAACAAATTTTCTGGATAGCCGTTTCTCTCGAAAACGCCACTTGAGAAACTGAGCTCGTCCGGAAGTGTGTCCTCACTACAAATCCTTCTGGCCCTTTCGGTTAGAAATCTAATCAAGTTGCGTTTCTGATTTATTGGGACAAAACTGACAAAATGTATATATTGTCCGTTCCACGTTGTTTTTCTATGCACCCTCCGTTGGACTGATCCATCTGGTCGTCTACTAAGCTGAATGTCTAGGAAGGACATCGTGTCATTGACTTCAGTTTCTAGGGTGAACCTGGCATTAGGGTGCGCTGAGTTAAAATGTGATAAAATTGTCTCTGGGCAACAGTGCCTGTTCGTCACGCAAAATATGTCATCCACATATCGTCCGTAATATGGTAGACTGGTATTGACTCCGCTCAGATAGGTATTCTCTAATTTGCCCATGAGCACATCCGCCAGTAGCGGTCCAAGTGGTGATCCCATTGCTACTCCATCTCTTTGTCTGTATATGGCCCCGTTAAACTGAAATTGTATTTTATTAGTACACAGCAGGAGTAGCTGTTTCAATCGATCAGTTAAAAGGCCGATACCCAGTTGATGGTCTCGAATGGTGTCACATATATAGTCAATTGTCTCTTCTAACGGAATATTGGTGAAGAGCGACACCACATCCAACGAAAACATCTTTCTTCCGGTTAGCTGAAGCTGTCTTATGGAGTCTAAGAAACTGGATGTGTCTCGTAGGCTGTACCTGGACATAGTATTTCTCACCGCCTCTAGAAGCTTAGCTAACCACTTGGCTGTTGCGTGATGCGGTGAATTGCACATGTCTACTATGGGCCTTAGTGGAAGTCCTTCCTTATGCACCTTCGGTAAGCCGTAGAGTCTGGGGATCACCGTCCCTGTGGGACGAATGTATTCGGACGTGGCGGAGTCAATCATGTTTTCCTGTTTCAAGCGCCGTGGAAGCTTAGTGACTGTCTTTTCTATTGCCGCTGTTTTGTCCTTTTCATTCTCCATTTTCCGGAACTTCGAGCAATCGCTAAGGATGACGTTCATCTTGTCGATGTAATCTGCTTTCTGCATCAACACGATCCCTGTCCCCTTATCAGGCCTTAAAAGGAGTACGTCCTCATTTTGTTTGAGAGCTTTGAGAGCATCTAGATGGTCTTTTTTCAGCAAATACCTAAGCTTAGGTTTGTATTTCAGATATTGGTAACAAGTATTGACCAGGGTAGACTTAAAATGTTCAGACGCTAATGCTGACGACGGCGTAAGCATAGAAACTTGGGCATACAAAATTTCAAACTGCACTTCTAATTCTAATTGTCTTGAATAACTGCGGGGACAGCAAAAGTTTGGACCAAGTGAGAGCACCTCAAGCAATGTCTTATCCAAGTGCAACGACGTAAAATTGTGAACATACCTTTCCGGTTCAAGGGGGAATAAAGTATTTGCCTTAGTTGTGCAAACCTGCCGCCGCAATGAGGCTAAGCGTTTCTCCTATTGCTTTGTGACTATTCGTTGAACAAAGGTATCGAATTGTTTGCGCTCCACTGCGTCCAGTTTGTCCAATGTGACGGAATACGCGCAGCGATTACCTTCCAGCTCATCAAGTCTCGAGGCAATGGTATCACGCTCATTCAACGTATGCCGTTTCAGCGCCACATTAGTTGGATTAATTCGATTTCTACGGAGTATTTTGTAAAAGTGTTTAGTATATTCACAACACGAAACACATTCATCAAAGAACCGCATGGTCACTTTCGCTAACGCAAGTTTTGTGCAGAACTTAACGTACTGATTAAGCCCTTTGAGCACAACAGGATCCTTGGATTGTTTCAAGTGAAAGATATCCCAGGCGTGGACATCAGAACAAATAGATTAAGTAGATTAAGTAGTATTACAGCCGGAGTAAGTGTGAAAATTGAACGCTCGGTGATCGGTGCTCTTACGGTTTAACAATTAGACCATTAACCTGTGGTAATAAACAATGAACAGTAATTTTATACAGGTTAATAAGCACTGCTTTACAAGCTACTTTTGGTAGTCTGGTGGCTTATCTAAAATCTTCATGAACAAACTAAGTTAGTACTTCTACTGTCAAAAGAATGAACATATCGTATGTAATGCAGTAGGCTGCATTCTGATTGTTTCCATAGCTTCAAAAGGCGAAAAGTTAAACCCAAGGTACTTCGGGGCAATAGGACAGAAAGTAGCGTCAAACCAACTTTTAAATATGGCTATCGTGGGAGCAGAAACAACCGTGATTGACCGTGATTGACCACGATTGACACACATGAATTAAAAAGAACTTTCTATGGCACGCCAGACGGCTGTACTGTACTGTACTGCTAATTTCAAGGAGCGGCCTCTAAGCTTTGTGTTGTTGCTGATTTGCAGTAAAGAGCGACACACATTATTTGGATTGAGTAAAGTCCAGTACGCCTTAATCAAGT